CAGAGACGGATCATAGTACTGCAGAATAACAGCATAGTTATGCATATTCATATATTCATATACACTATATTGCCAAAAGTATTTGCTCACCTGCCTTGACTCACATATGAGCTTAAGTGACATCCCGTTCCTAATCCATAGGGTTCAATATGACGTCGGTCCACCCTTTGCAGCTAGAACAGCTTCAACTCTTCTCCACAAGGTTTAGGAGTGTGTTTATGGGAATTTTTGACCATTCTTCCAGAAGCGCATTTGTGAGGTCGCACACTGATGTTGGACGAGAAGGCCTGGCTCTCAGTCTCCGCTCTAATTCATCCCAAAGGTGTTCTATCGGGTTGAGGTCAGGACTCTGTGCAGGCCAGTCAAGTTCATCCACACCAGACTCTGTCATCCATGTCTTTATGGACCTTGCTTTGTGCACTGGTGCACAGTCATGTTGGAAGAGGAAGGGGCCAGCTCCAAACTGTTCCCACAAAGTTGGGAGCATGGAATTGTCCAAAATGTCTTGGTATGCTGAAGCATTCAGAGTTCCTTTCACTGGAACTAAGGGGCCAAGCCCAGCTCCTGAAAAACAACCCCACACCATAATCCCCCCTCCACCAAACTTTACACTTGGCACAATGCAGTCAGACAAGTACCGTTCTCCTGGCAACCGCCAAACCCAGACCCGTCCATCAGATTGCCAGATGGAGAAGCGCGATTCGTCACTCCAGAGAACGCGTCTCCACTGCTCTAGAGTCCAGTGGCGGCGTGCTTTACACCACCGCATCCGACGCTTTGCATTGCACTTGGTGATGTATGGCTTGGATGCAGCTGCTCGACCATGGAAACCCATTCCATGAAGCTCTCTGCGCACTGTTCTTGAGCTAATCTGAAGGCCACATGAAGTTTGGAGGTCTGTAGTGATTGACTCTGCAGAAAGTTGGCGACCTCTTCGCACTATGCGCGTCAGCATCCGCTGACCCCGCTCCGTCAGTTTACGTGGCCTACCACTTCGTGGCTGAGTTGCTGTCGTTCCCAAACACTTCCATTTTCTTATAATACAGCTGACAGTTGACTGTGGAATATTTAGGAGCGAGGAAATTTCACGACTGGATTTGTTGCACAGGTGGCATCCTATCACAGTTCCACGCTGGAATTCACTGAGCTCCTGAGAGCGACCCATTCTTTCACAAATGTTTGTAAAAACAGTCTGCATGCCTAGGTGCTTGAATTTATACACCTGTGGCCATGGAAGTGATTGGAACACCTGATTCCAATAATTTGGATGGGTGAGCAAATACTTTTGGCAATATAGTGTATATATATATATATATTGCAGAGCTACTATCCTGCACCTTTTTGGTGTGCCCCATTTGTAACACACCTGAATCTAATGAGCGGTTCGTTATCATGCCTGCTCAGCCAAACGAGGGGATTCAGCCTTTAGATTCAGGTGTGTTAGGGAAGTGATACATCTAAAAGTTACAGGATGTTAGCTCTTGAGGCCTGGACTTGAGCACCCCTGCACCCCTGCTCTAGTGTCAGCTCTTTGGTCCTGGCCATGTTAGAAGTTGGATTCTTACTGATTCTATGGTGTGGACAGGTGTCTTTATGCAGCTAACAACCTCAATCAGGTACATCTAATTTAGGATAATAAATGGAGTTGAGGTGGACATTTTGAAGGCAGACAAACAGGTCTTTGAGGGTCAGAATTTTAGCTGATAGACAGGTGTTCAAGTACTTATTTTCAGCTGTATCACCCAAATAAATAGTTAAAACATCATATCATTGTTATTTCTGGATTTCGTTTTTAGATTATGTCTCTCACAGTGGACATAGACCTACGATGACAATTTCAGACCCCTCCATGGTTTCTAAGTGGGAGAACTTGCAAAACAGCAGGATATTCAAGTACCTTTGTTTCTTCACTGTAAATTATAAAGATTATTGTTAGAATCCACAATCACTGCAGCAGATATGAATGGTCTGTAGTTCCTTTAACTAGTTTAAAAGGCAAAATTCTTAGTTTAACCTAAAGTATAAAATGGCCCCACAGTATAATAATTATAGAGTGAAGGTATTGTAAAAGGAAGAAGCTACAAATGGATGCACACAGAGAAGACTCATGAGAGTTCAGGCCACCACTAATTAAACCTTGGATATAAGCCTTGGTGTAAAGCGTGCATTAAGCTGCAGGAGAAGAATGTTTAATGAGCAGGCCACTGGTTTGCATAGAACATCTTGCATATTTCCAGATGACTGCTGAGTGGTTATATGCTAAATTATGCTGCAGAGATTTTATACAATGTCGGAACAAACCATCTGTTGCAATCACCTCCCGTAAAAAGCTCAGAGAGAAACAGCAATGAAATAACATAGCTTCCACATATAAAAATAATACATTTTTCTCTTTGAGGTTGTCGCTATAAGGAGGTTTAGAATGGAGGCTACCTATGTTTCAGTTTGATCATCCAGTATGTTCAATATTTATCAACAGCTAATGAAAGAGGAGATTTTGAACAGAAACTTAACCATAGCTTTCCAGACTGAAACAGAACTGTAGTTTCTCTTATATTCATCATACAGTATGAGCTAATGCCTCAATTAATTATTTAAACAAAGCAAACAAAAGATTCTAACATCAGTTTGCATTAAATGACTGATTAATGCATAAGAGGGGGACGAGGCTTTTATAATCAATTCAAGTCTGTGTAGTCTGGAAATGCTTTATTAGACTTCGCAGAATATATATCTATGAAAGAAACACTTGATTTTTTGATTATTTATGCAATGTCTCCTTATCTAACAGTTATTTAGAGTTTTTTTAATCTGAACACTTTTTCCTTGTTGTTAGAAATCAAATTGAGAGGAATAAAAGAAGAAAATGAAGGTATCAGAACATCCATCCTTCCATTTTCCATCACGCTTATCCCAAGTGGGGTCACAAGGGCTGCTGGTGCCTATCTCCAGCTGTCTACGGGTGAGAGGCGGGGTACACCGTAGACAGGTCACCAGTCCATCGCAGGGCAACACAGAGACAAACAGAACAAACAATCATTCACACACACACACACAAAAGGAGATTCTAGAGAAGCCAATTAACCCAACAGTCATGTTTTTGGACTGTGGGAGGAAGCCGGAGTACCTGGAGAGAAGGTATCAGAACAGATCCATGATAATTTAATAGTTAAGATTTTTAAAACAAATAAAAAAATTAAATTAGAACAAAGAAACACTAATAATTTGTTTAAAAGAAGATGTTATACAGACTTATAGGATCATTAGTTTCAAGTCAAACCTGCAACTGTCAAACCTCCACATCTGACTCAGGTAGAGTGAACACAGTTTTATATCTCTGTGTGGATTACTGCATTCCCTTGCGTTATCAAACACAGAGTCAGTGTGGCGTATGCACTTGCAGATGCTTTGAGTACAGGCTGCTGGATGTGCATCATTGCACACATGGGTGAGTCTTTGTCTTTGTCTCTGCATCCTGCTGTCTCTGTTCACATAAAAATAAAAGAACGCTCACACAGATATTCACAGATGGAGCAGCAGCAGTCCTAATGCAGCCCTCTGCTCTATTTTCGGTCTGTTTTATGTCAACACATGCTCCTCTTTGCTCTTATCTTCACCTGCCTCTCACTTTGCTTTAACAAGCTGTCACCCCAGTCACTGTTCAGACGTTCGTTATCTCCCTCCACAAAGAAGCCTGTATTCAGACAGCTTCTTTCCCCTTTTTTTCCCCAGTCTCTGCAGTGATTTTCCCTTAACTTTGCACTTTCAGAGTTGCAGAATTTGTCTTTCATTCAGAAAGACATTGCACCAGCTTGGATGTTAATAAAACGCATCACTGAAGTTTCACATGATCTTTCCTTAGAATACCCGATCCCTGGTGAACACCTTTCTCCGAGGGTTTTCTAAACCATTTTCCTTGTCCCTGTTGTTCTCAAAAGCAGAAGTTTTAAAAGTGATTAGCTCCTCCCTGCAGGAGGGCCAGTTGAAACATCCTTTTCAAGTGTCGGGGAGCCCCCATGATGCGCAGGCATTCCTAACTCATTAAAAAGAGCTGACTATGCAGCCCTAAAGCCCCAGTCCTCCTCCGCAGTGCCCAAGCTGGAGCCACTCCAGAATATAACAGTGCAGCACATCAGTCTCTCAGAGGCCTTAAGAAGCAGCTGCACCACTCTGTAGCTCTGCCAATCTCTGGACGCAGCTTTCTACTGCTGCAGCAGTGCTCTAATAATGCTCCAGGGGAGGTCCTGACAGTTTCAGTAGATCTTCTATTATTGGTTCAGCCTTTGCTTAAGCAAAGGACAATGATAGCTTGATGAAGCAACTTTGTTAATAAATGGAAAGACTTTGAAGAGATTATTTACCATGTGGTGGAGAATACAAGGGTCCACAAGTGTTAAACTGGAGCACATTTACCTCTCAGATTATTTCTCTTCAGCTTGTTAAATTCGAAATCAGATGATAATGAAACGTATCATCAATTCTGCTTCATTCAAGTCATTTCAGCCAAGGGAGACTGGGCAGAACACCATAAGTGATGCCAGGACACCTTAAAGACAATCAGATTTATTCAAATCATTCCAGTTAAGTTCAGCTGTTTTAAAGGAAATGATATGCAAAAATAGTTCAGATACTTTCCATTAATCTAAGTCAATTAAATATAGTTCAGCTGAATTCAGCTTAATCCATTTCAGTGACTTTTACTCAGTTTAATTACAGTTTCTATAGAACCAGCTGTCTGGAGATAGGCACCAGAACCCCTTGTGACCCCACTTGGGATAAGCCTATTGTTTAGTTTAATTTATTTTGTGGATCTCAAAACCCCATACTGGTTGATGGAAGACCCCAACTCTGCGAGTCAATGCTTTAAATGAATTGGACTTTTCAGCATCAGGACATTTCCCCCTTACATCGGTGTATCTGCTCCTCATTAACCAATGTCCTCTTTTCATCTCATCCCTCTCCCCTACCTGCCTGTTCCCTCTTCTTTTGTGTCTCTGCAGGATCCTGCTGACAGTGGTGGTGATCTTTCGTATCTTAATAGTTGGGATAGTTGGCGAGAAGGTGTATGAAGACGAACAGATCATGTTCATCTGTAACACTATGCAGCCCGGCTGTAACCAGGCGTGTTACGACAAGGCGTTCCCCATCTCGCACATCCGCTATTGGGTGTTCCAGATCATCCTGGTGTGCACGCCCAGCCTTTGCTTCATCACCTATTCTGTCCACCAGTCTGCCAAAGCACGTGATCGAAGCTATTCTTTGCTCCATTCCCACATGGACCACCATGGGCACGGCCACCACGGCCGCCACCACGACCATCATGTTCGCAAACTTCATTCCCGCAACATCAATGGCATCCTGGTGCACCCTGAAAGCAAGGATGACCATGATATGGATGTCAAGGAGATCCCAAACGGACCCCGGGGGGCTATCCCAACACACAAAAGTGCAAAAGTACGGCGGCAGGAGGGCATCTCCCGTTTCTACGTCATCCAGGTGGTGTTCCGGAACGCGCTGGAAATTGGCTTCTTGGCCGGCCAGTACTTCCTGTACGGCTTTAACGTCCCAGGGATGTTCGAGTGTGACCGTTACCCATGTGTGAAGGAGGTGGAGTGCTACGTGTCTCGTCCGACAGAAAAAACTGTATTCTTGGTCTTTATGTTTGCCGTAAGCGGCATATGCGTTCTGCTCAACCTGGCCGAGCTCAACCACCTGGGATGGAGGAAGATAAAGTCAGCCATGCAGGGCGTGCAGGCCCGGAGGAAGTCTATCTGTGAAGTACGAAAGAAGGATGTCTCACACCTGTCCCAGGCCCCAAACCTGGGCAGGACGCAGTCCAGCGAGTCAGCATATGTCTGACAGAGGCTTCCCCGCCCGGGAGCTCGAGGACCTTTAACACTTTGGGCCAGAGCGTTTCCCTGGCCTGGCCACTGAATCCTCACCATCACCATTAAGAGCACAGACTCTGTGTAGTCACAACAAAAAAAAAGTCACCAAGCTGAGTTTTGTGGACACTTGAAGAGAAAAGAATCACTTTCTTTATAACGAGAGACCAAAAACGTCTTCTCCATCTCTCTCGGTGACACCAGGTGCTTACAGAGAACCGAGTACTGAAACATTTACAAATAACACTAAGAGGTTCAAAAAAATCAATTGTTCTTTAATAGTTGCCTTTGCTGTGGATCAGAGAAAAGATGATATCATTTTCCATATATGTGTGCATATGCAATAGCTTCAGCGAGAGCATGCATGCATATGCATGAGTGGGTGTGTTAGGGAAACTGAATGCTAAATTATTCTGAATTACGAAAGTAAGATAGAATAGTCACTTGATGGATGAATAAGCACTTTAAAAAAAAAAAAAAACAACATAATCTATTAGCACTAGAACGATCAGCATAAACTGGAACACACCATTTATTGTTGTTGCTGCAGGTTTTTTTTTGTTATTTTGTTTTATAAAGTCGCTCTTCTTTTTCTTGTGCTTTGTTGGATTAGCTGCCGAGCAAAGGACAGAGCGAAGTTGATTTTTATTTCCAACACTGTGTCGGTGTACTTTGCTGCTCCTGGTTCCTCCCAGAGCGGCAAAGAAATTCGTGCCAGTATCTTCACTTTAGCTTGTAAGATGCTCTTTATGTTAGGAGAGCAGGATGGAAATACATGCAAAACTTTCACAGTGAAACAGGGGGGAAAAAAAGAAATAACTTTGTCACAAGTATTTTAACGTGTAACCTCAAACCTTTTTCACAAGCACATTTGGTGCCATATTTCAGAGCTACTGTACATAGATGAACTCTAGTTAAATACACTTAGCCTTTTACCCTATCATGTATGGATAGGCTCTATGTGGGAAGGCAGCAGCAGTTTGGGTGCTTCTGATAATTAACCATAGATTGCCTGCTTTAATAATATTTAGCATTGATGTGCTTTTTGTTATGCCTTCACTCTCCCTCATATGGAGACTCTATGTCCCAAGAAGTGATTTCTTTTCCCCCTCCTTGGACTTTGAAAAAGGCATGTTACAGACGCATTAATAGAATGGAATAGAATATGAAATGTAACTTAAAAAGACACAGTTTTATTTATTCGCATCCTGCTCCAATGAAATGTAATAATCAGCATGCATGAAGATGAAAAATATAAAGTGATTGAAAGAAATCCTGTTTTATGGGAAAGCATAAAATCAGACAGGCGCCTCAACTGCAGCAATAATAGACATCAATATGTGAAAAGAAATATGTGAATAAATGATTATGCAGTGATTTTTTGGGGGGTTGTTCTGTGTTTTATAGTGACTAACGGTGCTGCATGATGGGTTGGGGGAAAAAGGTCAGAGCGGGAAGTCAATTACATGAACTGGAAAAATAAAACCACACACATCAGCACAATGAACCCTGAGCATGAAAAGCAAGAATTTATTGCACCGATAAATCCCACCCTGTGGTATTAAATTATAAATAAATGTACTGTAGATCTATCATGCATTTAGGCAGAAGTAACCTACATTTATACTGTATATACAGTCCCTTGCAAAAGCAAACACGCTCCATAAACTTTTACACATTCCACCCCATCACGGCCAGAAATATAATCTATTTCAGTGTGATTTCATTTAATAAACTAATTTAAAACTGGTGTTTAAATGCAAGTGGAGGAAAAAATTATTATGTTTTTTTATGTTTATTGATAAAAGTATGAATCCTTTTAACACATCTAACGGTTGATATGTTCTTCTTTAATCTTTACAGATTAATAAGAGGTCAGTAACATTGCAAGGAGAACATCACCTTTAAAATCTACTCACATGGTCTACAGGATATTCAGGGCTCTGTCTGAACACCCGCCCTAATCTGACTATATAGTGGACTTTGTAGTGAATTCAGTTAACTGACTGTTTGGACAGGTGATCACTGCTTTTTGCTCCAGTTTGTCATGTAACTTTGCCTCCCTGCGCAGTGCGTGTTCCATCTTTGTTTTTTGTCACCGCTGTCACTACCTGGCAGCGCACCGGTGTCATAACAAATCCCATAATGCTTTGTGAGGCGAGCTCTTGCAAAGCAATCTGGGACCATGGATGATCACTACTTTTTAAGGTGCATTGTGAGAAATTTCAAATCCACTACTTTTTCATCTAGACATTTGGACACAGCCCATGTGTTAGGACGGCCTATTTAAGGTCTGCGATTGAGACATTATAGAATTGAGAGTATATTTAATGCTACTGACTGGCTGGTTTGGATTTAGATCAAATTTTGTATAATTTTAACAAAGAACTGTTTGTTATAGTAAATTATAAAGACTCCCTTCAACAGATAATACAGTGGAAAAAGAGTTCCCTTAAAAAGCTGAATGTTTTTTGTTTATTTTTTCATAAAATATAAAAAAAATCTATAGAAAAATAGTTTTTACAGCATTTAGTTGTATCTTAACACTATTCTCTTTGTCAGTGACCTTCAAATCTTTGAAACTGGAAGGCCTCTTTGCCAGCACCCTAATGATTAGCTACCTCCATAGATTACCTACCAGATTAAAGGGGCTATAGTAATCAAAATTTACTTTTATTAGACTTTAAACCTTTCTAAAATTCTGTTTTGGCATCAAAAATTCCAAGCGCAATGCCCTAACCACTAGGCCACCAATCCCCAAAAATGTTACCCAGAGGATGTGATAATCGAAAAGGTCAACGAAAATTAAAGCTGTAAAATTACTGTACAAGAATAAAGTCCTAACTTCAGGATAAATGTGTAACAATATGAGATTAAAAACCTATTACAGTAGTTTAATTATATTTTGATATCTTGAAATGTAAAGACTTTATTTTTGTAATGTTACAACTTTATGGTGGTAATGTGTCAACTTTAATTTTTTATATGTTACAGCTTTAAAGTCGTAATGTTATTATTTTATTATGGTAATGTTACCACTTTATTCTCTAGAATAAACATTACAAAAATAAAGTTGTTACATTTCAAGATATTAAACTATAATCAAACTTGTAATATTGCCAGAATTAAGCCGTAACATTATGAACGTTAAGGTTTTAATATCACAACAGTCATGCTGTATTAAGAAGTAGTTGTCTTCCCCATGTGTTAAATACTCAGCTCAGGCTTCAACTTATTAAAGCAATGTTTTCACACTAGCATAGCATCATTACTCTGTTTTTTTAAACACTAAGAACGTATTAGTTGGAAAAACAACCAATCTAAACCTATTTCGGTTAGATTAAACAATATATTGGTCAGAAACTGAACACGCCATTGGTTTTGGAACCACCAATTTACTTGGTTAACCTAACAACCAAAAAAAATAGTACCGTAACTGATGGTTCACTAATCTGACTGTTTGGCTGTAGTCAAGTGTAGTGTGTAATAGTTACGGACCTAGAGAACAACTACAATGATGTGTTCATGTCCAGCATGCAAATCGTGGCATTAACCTTGGTTATAAACTAGTATTAAATTCCAATATGTCAATAGTGACAGTTTGCCTTGCAGCAATAAGGTTGGAGATTCAAGACCTTGCTCTGGCTTTGAATGTTGTAATTGACCATTATATTGGTCAAAGTGACCAATTTGTATTGGTTTGCCCTTTTAACAATAAAGATTGGTTAAAATACGACCAAATTAGATTTGTTGTTTTAACAAAAGATTGGTTAGACACATAACTTCAAAATTCAACCACTTATTGGTTGAATTGACCAATCTAAGGGTGCCTTATGATGACTTTATTGTAACAATATGAGGACTTTATTTTCAGTATACTCCGTCATAGGAAAGCATTTGAAATGGTTACAATTTCTATACGCGAGTTTCAAACCAAGGTATAAGAAGCTTTTCTTTGAATACTCGATTCAAGACAGCTTTGAGAACCTTGACCAGAACCAAAGTGGATTCACCAAATGCTCAGTTCTTAAACAAGTAAAGCAATTGCATCCATGAAGACATCTGATGAACAAGCGACACCGGTAAGTAAATCACATTCTATGCTTCTTCAACGTTTTCCAGGCCAAGGACCCCCAAACTGATGGCGAGATGGAGCAGGGACCCCCTAATTATATATATATATTGCAGGAAATTGTGTTATATCAAACTGGTCCTACAGTAACTCTATTACATATGGAGAAATGTAACAAAGGTACTTTTTCCCTGGGATTATTAAAGTATTTTTTGATTCTGATTCCTGGTTGATGGGACAGGTGTTGTGAATGAAATGGTGCCCAGATTGAAAGAGCTCCTGTGTATCGCTGAATGTTTGCATTAATGACTGAAAGACATCTTCTGCCTCCATTTATCTGTTTAATACAGTGTGTTGAATTCATGTTAATGCGTATTTAAAGACATTTCAATTAGTGGAAAAAATGGCAGGGGGGAATATAAACAAAAGGTTTAGGTTACAGCTATCCTATACCTATTTGACCTCTTTTCTCTGGTTAATTTGTCATTTATGTTGAAGACGATCTCAAATATAAATCATGTTTTTAGAATTTTAAACAATGTTATACAGGTGCTGGTCATAAAATTAGAATATCATGAAAAAGTAGATTGATTTCAGTAATTCCATTTAAAAAGTGAAACTTGTATATTATATTCATACATTACATACAAACTCATATATTTCAGATGTTTATTTTGTTTAATTTTGATGATTACAAATGACAACAAATGAAAATCTCAAATTCATCATATCAGAAAATTAGAATATTACTGAAGACCAATAAAAACAAAGGATTTATAGAAATGTTGGCCAACTGAAAAGTATGAACATGAAAAGTATGAGCATGTACAGCACTCAGTATTTAGTTGGGCCTCCTTTGGCCTGTATTACTGCAGCAATGCGGCGTGGCATGGAGTCGATCAGTCTGTGGCACTGCTCAGGTGTTATGATAGCCCAGGTTGCTCTAATAGTGGCTTTTAGCTCTTCTGAATTGTTGGGTCTGGTGTATTGCATCTTCTTCTTCACAATACCCCATAGATTTTCTATGGGGTTAAGGTCAGGAGAGTTTGCTGGCCAATTAAGAACAGGGATACCATGGTCCTTCAACCAGGTACTGGTAGCTTTGGCACTGTGTGCAGGTGCCAAGTCCTGTTGGAAAATGAAATCTGCATCTCCAAAAAGTTGGTCAGCTGCAGGAAGCATGAAGTGCTCTAAAACTTCCTGGTATGTGGCTGCGTTGACCCTGGACCTCAGAAAACACAATGGACCAACACCAGCAGATGACATGGCACCCCAAACCATCACTGACTGTGGAAACTTTACACTGGACTTCAAGCAACTTGGATGAAGTGCCTCTCTTCTTTTCCTCCAGACTCTGGGACCTTGATTTCCAAAGGAAATGCAAAATTTACTTTCATCAGAGAACATGACTTTGGACCACTCACCAGCAGTCCAGTCCTGTTTCTCTTTAGACGCTTCTGACGCTGTCTGTGGTTCAAGAGTGGCTTGACACAAGGAATGCGACAGCAGAAACCCATGTCTTTCATACGTCTGTGTGTGGTGGTTCTTGAAGCACTCACTCCAGCTGCAGTCCACTCTTTGTGAATCTCCCCCACATTTTTGAAGGGGTTTTGTTTCACAATCCTCTCCAGGGTGCGGTTATCTCTCTTGCTTGTACACTTTTTTCGACCACATCTTTTCCTTCCCTTCGCCTCTCTATTAATGTGCTTGGACACTGAGCTCTGTGAACAGCCAGCCTCTTTAGCGATGACCTTTTGTGTCTTGCCCTCCTTGTGCAAGGTGTCGATGGTCGTCTTTTGGACAACTGTCAAGTCAGCAGTCTTCCCCATGATTGTGTAGCCTATAGAACTAGACTGAAAGACCATTTAAAGGCTTTTGCAGGTGGTTTGAGTTAATTAGCTGATTAGAGTGTGGTACCAGGGGCCATCAATTTTGAACCTTTTCACAATATTCTAATTTTCTGATATGATGAATTTGAGATTTTCATTTGTTGTCATTTGTAATCATCAAAATTAAACAAAATAAACATCTGAAATATATAAGTTTGTATGTAATGTATGAATATAATATACAAGTTTCACTTTTTAAATGGAATTACTGAAATCAATCTACTTTTTCATGATATTCTAATTTTATGACCAGCACCTGTAGTGTTAATTCATTTTTCCAAAAAGAGAGAAAAACTTTTTAAGATTAGATATTTTATGCATCAAATCTTGATATTATTTATTTGACTTTTTAAAGAACTAAAACATCTAGAGTCTATTTTTCTGTTCTTACTATTTAACTTATTGGAACAACAATGA